AACAAGTGATGGGCAATATGCTGACCTCGAGATTGGCACTACTCTTCTGTGGCTAAGGTTCACTTATTAAAACACACTTAACCTTCTTTGTCTCTCAAGACAAGTTCTTCTAAAAGTTCTCTCAATGCACAGGAAAAGTGCCCATCCCACCAGTTTTCCAGACAAATTACATTATGTTTACATCTCACTTAGAAGCCCTCCACACTTGTAAAAATGTACAGAGATGTAAAGTAGAACAGTATGGTTTAATAGTTCAGTATAACTGGAATATAAAATGACAGACAATGGAGAGAGAAGGCAGTAGCAGAAGATGAAGTCTTTTAACTAAAAAGGGTTTGTTTATGAATGTTAACTCACACTTACCTTGTGGACAATAAGAAGCAATGTATATTTCTTATAAATAGAACTGGATTCAGAGAATAGATGGGCAAAAAGAGGAATTAATCTAAAAAAAAAAGAGAACCCCTTACTCCTCACCTTTCTTTCTCATGGACAGAGACCATCAACAGAATCTGGGTCAATATTGATAAAATACATTAAATTCCTCTTATGAAAAAGTGTCCTCTAACACAAAACAGGATAGATTAAGCAGTTCTTCTCAGTTAATCTGATTTTTAAAATATAACATTGAACATAATCTCTATTCTTACAAAAAACAATGAGTTTGATTTTCAATAGATGCAATTCACAAGTTCTTCATCCATTTTTAAGAAAAATGACCATACCTTCCAAAGATGACATATGAGAGTTCAATACACAGGAAAATCAACATAGGAATCTATTGTTAAATATAAATGGATGAATTACCTTCTTGGATGAAATCGAAATAATCTTTCTATATGTTAGTTCAGTAGATTTCCTAAGATGCATTTAAATGACTGATATTTTTTTCTAACAGTTATATGATTTGTGCTTCTCCACATCCTGGAAGGGGAATATACTGAGATTGAAAAGGATCTGACAAGTGGGGGCCCTGATGCTTAAACTTCATGAGTTTCATCTTAAATTCACTTCTGGAGCCAGGAATCACATATATTTTTTTTTAATTTTTAAGGATGACTTTACAAGTTTAAAATGTTCATTTAAATTAGTTGTAGATATAAGGTTAAAAACTCCAATAAGATCATATAAATTACTTCCAAGTTTCGGCTTTGTAAAATTTGAATTACACATGTTGTTGAGTCTAAGAGGATATGATAGACTTTGCATTAATCTGTGAAACCTCCTAGAGAAATAATTAAGGTCACTTCCCTTACTAATAAATGATAAGGGACCTCAACACATTCATACCTCAACACATATTTGCATATATGCTTTAAATATACCACTAGTTATGTAACCCTGAATAAATATCAATCAGAATGCCTGAATACCAACAAAATTGCCCATTTCATATAATCTTTTGCATTTTTCAAAAAATTATATTACCTATGTACCATAAATCTGATTACACAGTAAGAAAAAATTCTGAGAATAACAAAATACCATTTAAAGCGCTGTCTTACAATAATTCACTTAAGCATGTAGAGTACACAATGCAGTTCCTAAGAATAAAATTGTAAAGTAATCTTCTTTATGTTTTAAAAAAAAAAAAGCGAGGGAGGGGGGAGAATGGCATTCTAAGATACAGCTGCATAGACTATATGATGAATATTCAACATATGAGAGACTAATTTGTCTTTACTCCATCATTAAGCATTTTTGTGACAAGCTGGGTATTCATCCCATTAGGGTTTTTGTGTATATGTATTCTTTTTGTCTAGTGCTTGCTCATGCCCTTTCCTGACATCCTGCAAGACTAGCCTTTTCTTTTCTTTTTCAAATTTCTGATTACTCATATTGTTAGAAACTCACACTCAGAGAACTCTTTTTAATAATAGGAAGACAAAACCTTTATAAAAACTCTCATTCTGCCACCAAAAGCTTGATCTAATAACTTTTTCCTCGATCCACTTTAAAAAAAAAAAAAAGGTATAAGATATAAATGGAAGATTTTCATTGGCAAATATACATTCTTAATTATTTTTGTTCACTAGGATTCCACCTCCTTTATACTTTAAGATTACCCCTAATTCAGGAAAAGATGACCCTTGTTTTACATCTGAGCCTACCACTTCAAAGATTTCATCTTCTTAAAGTAAATTATTCTTTTCATACATCCTCCATTGCTATATACAAGATGAAACATTTGACTGGGGGGCTTGATCCAGTTTTAGGTCACTCACTGAAAAGACATTCACCTAATAGCTCATTGAAATCAATGTCCAAAATGGATTCCTAGTGTTAAGCTGGAAAAGAACACAAGTAACAGTACTAAATTCTGATCTCTAGAACCTCTGGTACACCCCACTCACTGAGAAGCTTACTATGAGTTTTTTCTGTAGACTGGAAGTGTGGCAAACCTGTGCACTAGAAGGTTTCCTAGTTCCTTTCCAAAAATTTGGTAAGAAATATTCTCCATGTTAAAAAAAAAAAATCTATTTGAAACTACATCATCAACGTAAGGCAGAGTTGTGCGCCCTACATTAATTATGTATTCAGTGCTTCTGAGTTCATGACCAAACATCAATACATGTTGACACATTTTCTGTATTTGTAAGTTAAGGCTTAGATCCGAGTGTTATCAATAATGGCCCTGCTACTCCATTCAAACTCACCAGCATCTCAATTTTACTTCTAAGAGGCATCCTCAGGAATTTATGCAAGCTAACAATTTTTTAAAAAATCTAATTTAAGTCTACATTAGGGTTAAAATCACCAAATGTCTCACCTCTTCTATTGCCCCTCTCCCTTAAAATACTTACACTAGAAAGTGTTTTGTTTGCCACATAACAATGTGTAAACAGGTGGCTAACCTCAAAATCATATGTGCAAAGTGATCACTACGAAGTTAAACAGGAAATAGAATTGCCTACCAATATAAATAGCAGTGACTAGTAAATAAGAGAGACAAATTTCAGAAATGCATGTTTTTCTAAACAAAAGTAAGTTAGAATGGCACATATTTACCATAAATATCCAGCAACATAACTTAGCCTGTTTCACTGAACATCAAATAGTTGTTAAAATAAATGTGATAATTTAATGGTTTTCCAAAAGACATTGATTTCCCATTAATAATGCACATACATGAAAAAGACAAATATAGAAATCTATTTATGTAGAAATGGCATGTTAGACACAGTTTTATAAGTATGTCTAATCAGAATTTGATTTTTAAGAATTTAAAGGATGTATACACGCCTATTGTCATGAAGTGTAAAAATTTCTTCCTTAAAAATAATGTTACAAGAAAAATTCAACTAATAATACCAGAAATGGAAGGATGAACCCTGGTTACCATGAGAGCTTCCTAGAAAACATTTATTTCTTTAAAATTTTGGCTTTTTATTAAAGAATCTTTTAAAACATTAGGCTGTTTTATTCTGTTAATATAGAGTAGAAATTATTTTACACGTAAAATCTAGTTGATTTATGTTCCTAATGTATTGATTTCTGATTACTTAAGGTTTTACTGACTGAAGTCTAAATGGCACTTGAATCCTAGTATGTGTTATGTCCAAATTAGAAAGGTTACTCTAGTTTAAAAGTATGGTTTTAATTGTTCAATAATAAAATATTGCTATGATGCCACATTATCATCAGCAAGCATATGCCAAATGAATTCTCTCTTTTTCCAGTGTTCTAGAAATTCAACTGAATATTGGAATCAGAAGAAACACAACTCCAATTGGAATATTTTTATACTCTAGTTCACCTTACATTCATCCACACACACATCCTAGTCCATCTTCCAACCTAAATGTAATTTTTAAATAAAGAAAGGTAGAGAATGTGCTCTAAACAAAACAAAAATAAAGGTGAGATTGTTGTATGCCTCACAATAGTGCTGAAATTGTGGTTCAGATTAGTGAAATACACTAGAGATGAGTACCAAACAAGTTTTAAGCCACCCTTTTTTAGTCAGTTCTTTGCTAGGAGGAGAATTCCTTTCTCTTCTTCTCTCCCTCTTTTCCCCTTACCCTTCCCTTCCCTCTCTCCCTGCACCTTTCTCTCCCCCTCCCTCTCCCTCTCTCTCTCTCTCTCTCTCTCTCTCTCTCTCTCTCTCACACACACACTTATGTGACTGTCATATATCAAATGCTTGCATATAGGGTACATTTAATCCTCACAACATTTCCATAGTTGATCTACCAATTAATAAGGGCATTGCTTAGAAATGGCCAAATATTTCAACACCACACTCACCCAACAACCTCAAGTATCTTCAATCCTAATAAGAATCAGGAAACAAAGCATTTTATTAAAGAGCTCAAGGCAGAAAATATAGAAGTCAAAATCTGTGTACTAAAAGATCATACTCTTACATTACAAAATTTGTGTTCAGTCAGTGACTACTCATTCCTACTTCAGACAGAATTCTTCTAAGTATAGACACGATTTTTCTATTCCATAGTAGATTAAAAGCAGAAAATTAGAGAGGATGGAAAGCACACTTTTAAGACAGCCAGAAAAGTCAGCTGATTAAAGACAACTATATATACAATATAGTATCAAAAAAATTACTACATATATTATATGCAATAACGAAGAATTACAGTGGTCATTTAGCCTAAGAAGATAATGACCAATGACCCCAAAACTCCTAAGAATACCTTTTATACAGTATACACTAATGTCACATCACCTACAAGTGACTTAATTTGGTTTATTACACTTGATATAGGTAGAGAAATGGTTTTTAGAGAAAATTTTTCTGTACAAAATGATTTAAAAGTACTGTATGATAATAAAGCCTAGTTTATTTTGTTATAAAATTCATTTATGAAGAATATTGCATTCACTGATACATAGTTATTAACTGCTATATGAACTTAATATTTTTGTATATTACATACTTTCATACACGAGCCTATACAATCTCATGTACACACTTTGCATCACAGACTATTCTCTAAAAACTAAGAAAACAAAATGATATATTAATATCTTTGGGCCTGTCTAGAATAATAGGAAAGGGATTTATGTCAAGCAAATAATCAGCCTGAATAGTGAACCCCAAACCAATGAGGCTGGGTTGTTTCTAAAGTAAAAAATAAAGCATAAAGGAAAAACAGATTATGAGAGAAGGATGAAATAACTTGCGTCAAAGTGTGGCAGGAAGAAAGTAATGCCATATTAGAGAGAAAAGAGATCCATGTTATATGAAACGTACATTACATAAAAGAAGGTAACAGAAGGAAGGGTGGAAAGAAGAGAGTAAGGTCCAATATCTTAGGATGGAAAGAAACAATCAGATATCAGGCCCTTCCTAAACAGAAGGCTGCAGGGCTCCAGGAAATATGACCTATGAAGAAAGGACTGTTATCACTGTGACCTAAAAATCTTCAGACTTCCTCTGAGAAATAGAAAATTACTACCAATGAATACTCTAGCCAAAAAGTAAAAGTGTCTGCATTTCTGTTGAAAAGTAAATAACCATTAAGCCTTACTGCTTTGGCTTTAGGAACAATAAAATAACTTCAACTACTGTGAAATGATGGACTCATAAATAACTTTGTCCTAAGTATTAGAAATTAGCCTGTAAAACTGGAAGATGATTAAGGTATTTTCCTTAATCTTTCTCCCAACTCTAATAATTTCTTTCCTTTCCTTTTGTCCTTTGTGTGGAGGACAAAGCCTGTCAAGATTCATGCCTGCAACACAAACACAACTATCTTTCCTCCAGGTCCCAACCCAACTGCAGATCCATCATTTCAAATGACAATTCCATAGGAAATCAATATCTTGAAAGGAAGATTGCTTCAACTACTGCAGCGTGGACTGTGGGTACAGCCAGTGAATTCAAGAAAGCAGACCCATTTGTAGCTGCTGCTCATTCTAGCAGGATTGATTGCAGGCAACTTCCTCAGAGAAGAGGTGGAGGAGCTATTCATTTCTTCTCTTTTCAACTTGCTTCTCTCTTCTGGATCAAATAACAACAGTCCTAAATTATAAATAGCAGCAGGAGATAAACAAACACTCCGGCCCATTCAAAATGCTAAATAATAACTCCACCTGTTGTTTAAAGATTGATGTTCTTTCCATTCAACATTTTCTTTTTTCATATTATACATTACTAACAGTGGCTGAGATTCACTGATGGTACATCTCAGAATATTCCTTCCGAAAATCTGTGTGGATGCCCCAACTCACAAAGCTTCTTTGAACATTATAATCAAACATAACCTAAAAACATAAAAGCTTAAAATCTGAGAATTTTTTCCTGCCTCCAACATTTTAAACCGATATTACATGTTTGTAAAGTACTTCTTTTAACTTATTTTATTTTTTCTGAGTATGTGCAATACATAATTGAAGAAAAAATTAAGATTCAGAAGGCAAGAAGTACAACCAATATGTCTATTACCCAAAAATAATCATTATATATTGATCTATTTCATTTTAATCTCTGTCTATACAATTGTTTTTACATAGTTAATTTCATACTGAAGATACAATTTTATGTCCTTTACAAAACCTTTTAAATTACAAACATTCCCCTTCAGCCAGGACACTGATCATCAATATCATATTTCAGGGTTATATAATAACTTATTTTGCACAAGTATAATAATCTACTTAAACCATTTGACTGCTGATATTTAAGATGTATCTAATATAGTATTTTGTTATTAGACATAACTCTTGAGATAAATACTACCATGTATTTCAAAGATATTTGACACATATTGATAAATCACTTTTTAAAATTATTGCCAATGTGCCTTTTTCTGACACATATTTTTTTAAATAAAACTCCTTTTGCTGATCCCCAATGTAGATCATCAGAACTCTCCAGATATCTTTATGTCAGTGTATGAAATATGTTTTCTCTAAGAAGAGCTGAAATGGAGAATGGTTTTATATTACTGAGTAAATCAGCCAAAGAGCAAAGACACAATCAGTTTAATCCCCAGAAATTTGTCTTATGGCACATGAGTTGTCAGATTCCCTAATACCAAAGATATTAATATTAAGTACATGGTGTGAATCAGCCTTCGATCCATATTAGTACTTTATATGTACTTTCATTTGACAAATTGTCTAATTTAAGAAGAGGCTGAAGGTGTTAAGTGGAAAGAATGGTGACATGACAGCCAAGAGCCAAGGCTCTAACAAACTCTGGCCCTGGACAAGTCAGATAATCCTCCTCAATATTAGTTTCCTCTGTGAACGACTTGATTGGGAAAATTAACCTCTAACTTTCTGTGGCATTTTAAAATTCTGTCATTCTCCGTCCTGATTTATATGTAGCAGGACAAGATCTGTAGATTTTTCCCCTCATTTTTCTTACTGCTCTCCACCCATAGATCCAAGATATTCATTAGCAAAAATAGAGAGAGGAATATAGACCAAAACAAATAATTCAAATAGACTTAAGCATAGATATTAGTCTGAAATTCAAAGGTCTTTCTATTTACAAGAACCAGCAACTCAAAAAAAAAAAAAAAAGATGTGTACTAGAATTCTAAAAATCTAGCTTTGCTTATCAGGAGCAAGGACTGGGAGCAAAGGTTTATAGCACTGCTTATCAAACTGCTTAAGGCCCACTAGTAGGTCAATTTCCTGGGTCTAGACTAGCATGGTTTTTTTGTTTGTTTGTTTGTTTGTTTGTTTGTTCGTTTGTTTTCCCTAATGAAATAGAATATAATGCACCGCAATTAGAATAAGGAGGTAAGGGTGTAATTTCTGGGGTTGTTATGAAAAATAAGTTGGTCACAAAGAGTTTCTAACAAAAAAAGTTGAAAATATCTGTTTAGATTATAAACCACATTGGGGTGGGTGGAGGGATATGCTTATGTAAATCCAGTTGCCCAGAATATTTGTATGTGCATATGTGGGATGGAGAGAGAACTTGGAGATAAATAGGGGAGTGAAGCTACGTGCAACTGTTGCACCGAGCTCTTCCATTTCCCACTGAAGGCTTGAAACCCAAAGAAGTGAAGTCTACAGAAACCATCAGACTTTTGAAAATATGAAGGCTGTAAAGGATCCATTTCTTGTCTAGATTTTAGAGAGGCAGCCTAGACGTGTAATGCTTGCCAACATGGAGCCATTGCTTTTGAGAATAAGTTACAACAGGGCAGGTCTAAACAGAGAAATATCTTGAGATTCATGCCCACTTCATCACCCTTTTTTGAATTTTGTGGGATATGGAGAGATTCTGAAAAGACTCTCCTGCTCAACCACAGAAGTAAGGTGGAAATTAGGCTATGGCATCCTAGAAGGTTAAAGGAGTGAGGAGTAAGGGGATTTATTGCTTCCCAGAATAATCACTGCACTTTTGCTGACACTAAAAAAAACAGACAGCAAGTTATTCCAGCAGTGAAGACAACAGATAGGAACCCCAGACCATATTCTTACCCTCTAATGTCAGGAAGATATGGAAGTATCCAAGAACCTAGATCATCCTAGAGAAAAGGAGCAAGAGAGGTGCCTTAAAGTTACCTGATTTTATCCAAAAAGTACAGCTTTAAACTGAAAGTTACTTCGATTTGGCAAGCTTTTCATCACAGTGGAAATGGGGGCTTAGAAAACATGTCAAGTTCATTTAAAAAATAAAAAATTTGAGTTTGTAACTTTTTATTCACTACATATCCCTCTTTAATTAGATTTTAAACACTTTAAAAAGCATAAAATATCTTATTTGTTTTTAAATCACTTTTAGTTCTTAGGCCAATCTCTTTCACATAATTATTGCTCAATAAATGCTATGTTCAGGGCTTCCTAACCTTTTTATTGGCATGACATATATAAAAATTATAATTAATATTGTGTGCTAGGTAAAGTGGAAGAGGGTGACCTGTTCAGAGTCTGAGATCACCACATGTCCCGCTGATGTATCTGAAGACTAAGAGAGTTAATCAATAATTGTGCAATCATTTCGAAGTTGTCTATTGCATTACTAAATACAATTTACATAGCAGATTAAACTCATTTGTGTGAAACATAACATGGTACCACAAATATAATACCACATTTACCAAACTACACACAAACATTGTTAGCAAATATCTGTGGTTTCTTGTTTATCAAGGAACCAAATCTTTCAACATCTTGTAAACATTTAGAAAACTTCTGTACACAAATTTCTACAGTGCTCCCTGTGTGTCAGCACATCAGACTGATAATGTAATACAGGACACAAGAACTCAAAAGATTAATTTATGCAAAGTATGAATCATTATTTCTTAAATATTTCATAACTAATCAGCAATACTTCCTTTCTTAGCAATGGTTCCATGAACAAACCCCTCAGTACACAGAAAAGTCAGAGGTCCTATTGCAATCAATTACAAATAGGTTATATATTATTTTTTCTATTGGTTTAAATGCCATGATTTTTCCTGTTTTGAAGTGTGCTTTTATTGCACTCAGGATTGTTTTATTACTCTAAAAAGCCATTTGAGTCATTTTACTGAGTGACCACATTGATTCCTTTGACCTCTAGTGAATAAATAATATTCGTTTTTAATGACCTATTATTTTTCCAGGAGATCATGAAAACTTTTAAATAACTCTTGCTGAAATTCATGTCAATCAACTACAAATAAAAATACAATATAAAATTTTGACTACACATAATAAAAATATTCCATCATGTGTTGGATAATGAGTAATTTTTTTCTAGAAGTTGCCTTCTCCAATTGCAATGGCAGGAGATAGGATCAATGAAGGCATGACTTTCTTTTAATAATTAGTCAAGAATACAGCCATATGGATTTACTGATTTCAACTGTATGTTCGAACTACTGTGAAAAAAAATTTAGTTACCTTTTTGAAGGTGAATGTTTTGCTGGACACAAATAACTTACAAAGTCTGTTCCAGTACCAACTTCTCCAAAAAGCCTTCCCTGAGCATCTACCCCAGAACATCTCCCTCTTCTTGAATCCAACAGCACATAGCATCCGGACTGCTCATATAGCACCTATGATATGTGTCCTGACAAAATGATTCAAGAAAAGAGAGCCTTCATCCCAAAACAGAAGAGATATCAAAATATTTTAAATTATTCAATAAAGGTCATAGCCATATTTACAGATCTGTTTATCATTTATATTTTAAAAATTTGTTCCAAAGGGAGCCAGAAAACTGAGTACTGTTAGAACTAATGGAAACAGCAAAGTGCTTTAGTGGTGTTAAATCTCTCATTTTAAGGCTTCGCTTCATGAATATTTTATTTATTAATATATACACCAAAAAAGTAATCTACATATGCGTGTGTGAATTCATAGCAACGTGGCTTGCTCTTTCATGCAAATTAGACTTGTACTTTACTTGTCAATATCAAAATGCCTGTACTAAACAATAAAGTCATTTGTAATCAAAAGTGTATTTCTCTAAAACAAGAAATGCATTGGCAATGCTTGACAGCATGTTTATAAACCTTTAGTAAACACATCAGCTCCACAAAAGGTTATTTATTTTCATTTTTCCTCCTCTCTCTTTTTCATAACAATGAGTTAAATTTTCATTGCAACCAATGTACAAGGCTAGATAACCCTAGTGCATAAATTATAAAATGCATGTTATGGGTTCAGCACTGTGGCTAGCTCCTTCTAAGGGCTCAATAAAAGTCTTATTTTGGTGGTAAATGTCAGAAATCTATTTAGAACTGCCTAAAAGGACAAAAATGAATTATCCAAAGGAAATTAGCTTATGTTATGAAATCCAAAGAATAATTGGACAACCAAGTTATGGGAAAAACAAAGAAGAATCTGAATCTTTGGGGGAAAAAATGAGAACAAAAACTTAATTAACACATTAGGTCACACTCAGTTCTTTCTCTTGCCTCTCATCAGCCTCACTCTTTCTAGGTACAGATGCCTTTCTAAACATACACTCATCATATCGATCAGCAATCCCACTCCTACATATTTACTCAAGTGAAATAAAAACTTAGTTCACACAAAACCTCATAC